GGTACTGGAAGTTGTGGAGCGTTCTACGTATCTTGGAAGTTGTATTAGTTCTGATTGTAGTGTGGCAGATGAGGTGAATGCACGAATCTGCAAGGCTCGGGCCGCGTCTGCTAACTTGAGACACCTATGGCGTCAAAATGGTTTATCCCTGAACCTGAAGGGACGTCTGTTGTTGTTGTATGGCTGTGAGACTTGGCCTATTCGAGCAGCGCACCTGACACGTCTTCAGGTGTTGACAATCGTTGGTTTTCTTGTTGTCAGTTTCTAGATTGATTGCCTGAGTGAATGTCTGGAGTTGTAGGCACCTCGGAATGATCGTGGTGAGCTAGTAATAAGTCCCTTCCCCGTCCATACTCTTTTCTTGTAGGCACCTCGGAATGATCGTGGTGAGCTAGTCATAAGTCCCTTCCCCGTCCACCTTTACTCTTTTCTTCACAATAAGGCTTTTAAATAAATCATGGTTGTACGGCAGTGAAGCATCGGTGTTGAACACTGATGTCATGCTGTCGATGATGATGATGATGACCCTGGTCCCTGTGGAAACTGGTACATATGAAAAACAGTGCCTTTCGCCTAAAAATGATCTAATGTAATGAGGGCGTGCAAAACCTAGTACGGTTAACAAATCGATACGCGTGGAAGCTGCACGATCCTGTGCTAAGGCCGTGATCTCAAAGCAAGGAATTAGTTAATTAGCCTATCTGACAGGTAACGTGTAGTCTAATTCACCGACGGACGGTCAGTAATAATTGCGGCGAAACCGATTTCTACGAACTTCACCTGCGTTTCTTCAGTAGTTGCAATTGGGCAGCGAACAATATATTGAATTGGACTTGGGCAGACAGTATAGATAGGTAGACCATGGATCAATAGGAAATTAACAGTAAATCTTGAGGAGAATTAAAGAAAGGCTTACGGCCAGATTGAACCTCGGGCATTTAGCAACACAGGATGGCACAGGAAGGGCAGTGTGCTATCGGACAAATTAAACGGGAGAAATGTTGTTCAATTCCAAGTGGGGCAAATTTTCAACAACAAGCCCAGAAATAAATGTAAACAAATCGTCTATAGAAAAACGGTTGAGGTGTACAAAATAGAACAGTTCGGTCTTGAAACTTAAGCAGTCACCGGAAGGGTGCTGAATTAGCCTGAGGAATAGGGAAACAAATAATTACGTCACGTAATTAACAGAAGTGATGCCTTGGGTTCAACTGGGTTAGGCCTGAAATGACAACGCTGGTTCCCCACATTAAGCAAATTGTCAACTTGGTTTTCGTACCGTCGATATTCGAGCCCTTATGTATTTGGGTTCTCGTGTAGCTCAGCCGATACTCATTAAAATGAGTTCAGGGCTTTTGCTCGGGAGACTCAAAGCCTCCATCTCGTGAAACGGTATGAAACCAACCTGGTGATCACGATTGCAGTTCATGTACCATTCACATTTCTGAGAACCATCCAAGATTCCCAATGCACCCTACGACCACATATGCTTTTGGGCGCCGGACCCGCTGAATCCGGATTCATGTCCATCTGGAGACCTAATAAGGAGAGACCGGTGACTGACTGCCTAGTGAAAGGCCTTCTCTCGGGAGCGACAATTACCGCTCCTGTTCGTACTCCATCCCTCAGTATTTCTGACATAAAGGTTAGGTTTTCTGTTCTTGGCAGAGACCCAATGGTTAAAAGAAAGTATTGCGGAACGGTCCGTCTAACCAAGGGAGACCAGTCTCATCTTCATCGCCTGGAAACTGCTGACCCCTCTAATTCTCTAGTCTCTACCGGGCGCCATATGTTGCTACACTACCATGTCTACTAGCAAACAACCATCTTGGTTTCTGCAGGTCTACCTTCAGCTTTCTACTCGTATGATTAAGTTAGATTTTGGAAGGGCCTGTCGAAGCTTGAAGTGCGTTGAACGCCATAAATCATGATACGGCAGCTAGAGTCCTGGCTTGTGGCGAAATATCCCAGAAGTTCTCAGTTTCCATGGGGTTTGTAAGATCGTCCCTTTGTTTTCAACTTTGCCGTGCATGTATTGCGCTGCTCATTTGACAGCCCCACTGTGAGTATGATGGGTTGCTCCCAAGTAATCGAGCCATCGAATATGGAGGACGCTGACGACATTGTGTGATAGATAATGGCGCTTTATCCACATAAGAACTGCGTAACGACCGAAGTATCTCACCATCGTCTGGCGAGATAATTGTCATCTACGTCTCCCGCATAGTATCACAAACTCTGAGGTAGCTACCCCGAGACGGAGGTTTAAGCAATTTATAGGGATCCCTAGGTGGAATCGCTTAAATAGATAGTATTTCGCCAGATTGTGTGACACCCTTGAATCGTCCCCGATCTGTTCATGGCTTGAGTCATGAACCATGAGGATCATGGTGTGTGTGATCACCGGAAGCTGGAAACTTGTATCTATACCTCCAGCAGGCGACTGGCAACTATGCACTCCTGAGTTCAGCGATTTCGTTAAACTTGGGATGCGGAACTAGCCACGAAACTAACCTAACATTCTTATTGTGGAACAGTAGGTAAGGTACTTTGAGTCAAGCCCAGGTTTGACGATCCCGAATATCAAAAACGTTCGAAAGCCCACGGTACCATTGACCCAAAGACAGATAAGCAAAATTACACAATAGACTTCAATTGTCCACGTTCCTGGCACAAGAAATCTCGGCTCGGTGGTGTGAGTTGCGTCGAGGCCAGTCTCGCCATTGCCGATTGGCAGTGCGGTCACTCGGATATCACGACGAAGCAAGTCAATACTGACTGACAGGCGGCGCACGAACATGCAAGTTGGTCAGTGAAATGGACACACATATGCACATGCCAACACACTAATGTCGGACAAGGCGGCTTTAGTGGCAAGGTGAGTGGTAGGTACCGAGGTGCATAACGGAAGTGTGGACATCAAAAGTCCATGGTCGGAGTGGGCAAATGAGTGCGAGAATTGTCATGATATCGATTTGGATTCAATAGGGCCTACGTACATGCTGTTCACTAGTGTCCTAGCGTTCAACTTCCCTGGTTTTCGACTGTTTCGTGTCTCAACTGTACCGTGTTCCGTCCGGTCGCTCGATACAGGTCATTGGCTAACGCGCAGGCTTACCGACCGGAGGGTTCGTGGTTCGAACCCAACCTCGACTGCTCCCGTCCATGTTTTGGTAGCCTGACGGTATCTTATCCCTCGTTCAGGTGGCCTGGCAGCCATTCCCCGACTGGTTATTACAGCTAACCGATCCACATTCATCATTGGTCCGTCGGGATTAATGGATCAGGCGTACCGTACTGCTCCCAATGGGGTGATCGCCTGTTTATTTCGGTTATGGTATTAACTTCTCGATGAAGGTGTGTCCTTTGTAGACATGTTATTGACATGCAACTAAGCGCCACTTTACTATCGGATGACTCGAGTGGTTCGCATCTAAATCTGCCACTTGTGATGTTCTTCCGCTTGATGCAAAGAGACTGCCACATGTTTCAGTTAGAGCGATATCCAAGCTGTCAAAGTAATATTGCTGATAGGTATACAATCGACGGAAACTTCCTTACAGCCCACTACTTGTTTCCGCCTTGTTGGATCTCATCAGGTAGGTCTTGTCTCCGAATTCCCATTAGTTGGATATCGATTGACTGTGGCAATTAACTGAATTGGGTGTACAATGTGCTGCTGGAGTGAGTAAATTGGAATTTGTCACTCATTGCAAACATAGTTCGCTGCTTTCGAAGACGAGCTGCCAGTTTCTGTTGGGATCCGCAAGGAACTGAATTTTCCGGCAAAAACGAGAAGGAAATGGTTGTATCGGCACCTGCTGAATGGATGAAAATAAGAGCAATTTCAATGGTATGAAATTTTACGCTGTGTTTATTGGTCTCCACCCTCTGGTTAGGTTTTTGTTACAACGTCACAGTCGGAACATACGTCCAAAACATCACAGGGTACAAACGCGATCGATCAGCAACCGTTCGATTTGATGACGACATAACCAGGCGAACTAACACAACTTGCGTTCGCATTTCCAGGTTTCAAACAAACAGCTACTGGCGAAAATTTGCTGGTACTGTTATTGTGGCGATTCCGTTTTCGGTCAGAACTGCTCGCATAGTCGTTCATTCAATAATATCCATTCCCAACACAGTGCTGTGTCTCATAAGCTTTTAGGAATTCGGGTTATCAAGTCATGGAAGGGTATTGTAGTATCTAGTACACAAGTAATGGTGCGTTACAATGAGCTTGTGATCGTTCTTGATTGCACAGTTTTCTAGCGTTTATCGAATGATCTAAATTTTCTGTCCCACAGGATAATCCTAGGTGAGTTGGTATTGCCTGACTTGGATCTCCGAACCTCTGGGCATGCACATGTAAGTGCAATTCAGGGTAATTTTAAGCAAATTTAGCCAAAGTTGTCACCACAACTTATTCTGACGGTACCTTTGGATTCCTTGTCACTACTTCCATCAGCCATATCGCAGTCTATCGGTGAATTGCGATGTGCTCACCGAATGAACTGATTACTAACGGAATCAGTTTGAGTTATCCCTCTACGTTCGACACCCTAGTCGACTACAGGTTAACTCCATCGAGTTTATTGATTGGACTTAATTGTCAGTTTTTCGAGCATGCTTACAATCTTTGCTCTTCTGCAATCGGGAGTCCATTCAATCCGGGTGAATTCAGCCTCTGATTTACCAGTCAAACTGAGTGCTATGAACTCTGGGTGCTTTCCAGGCTGGGCAACTTATGGTCCCTGAATGCACTTGGTGAAAACTTCTCAGCCAATCCCATTAGCCAGCATGCTGCTACTGCCTAGCCTGCTGTTTTTAGCTGGGCTTATTTCGGCGACTGAACTATCTAGCTCAGCGAACAAACCAGCTACCATCTATGCTTCGCGAGCTCACTTTTTCCATTTAGTGGCAAATGTATTGCTTCCGTGTTTATGATCTCGATGATATCGGGTTCACTTAGTCACACGCGATAACGCATCCAGCTCCTCACAAGACATTTATGTAACCACAGCTCCTATCAGGCCTCCATTGGGTCAACCACTGTTGACAAACCAATCTGTGCCGCTTGTCAGCCAACTCTGTATGTGGGAGGTGGGAACGACGACCGTGATGCGACCTATTGGTCGGGCGATCCGTGACTTTTGGACTACTGACTTTTTTAAGCTTCTTCGCATGAGATCATCCTAGCCCTCGTACTTTATTTATGAATCAAATGGATGTGGCAACCAGACGATTAGTGTCTTAGCTTTCTGACCTAACCTTTTTTAGGGCTTCTTCGCATGAGATCATCCTAGCCCTCCTACTTCATTTATGAATCAAGTGGATGTGGCAACCAGACGATTAGAGTATTAGCTTTCTGACCTAACCTTTTTTATTTGCAAACTGGTTCTCTGAATAATGGACCACTGTGACGCCAGGCTCGTTGTTTCACTTGCCGTACCTCACACTACAGCTGAAACCCGGAAAGTTTCGCACTTTTGCTTTTGTTTCTCTATTACCATTTCAAGTCGAACCGGGTCTACCGTTGTGAAAAGGGCCGAATGCTCACAATACCGTACATTTCGCCTGGTCATCCGAGGCGAGTTACTCCTCAATGCTTATATACAACCAGTGTCAGGTGCGATCAACCGTTATCAGCCATGCTGTCTCTGCTTAATTTCAGCTCCCAAAGAACCTCAGTTGTGGCCAGTGCCGGTCGTTTTTACTTGCCGATCCGCGGACGGTCAACACACTGCTACCTACAAGCATCTTTTCACCAGCGCAAGTGAGGTTGTCGACATCCCGCTTACCTGGACAGCCTCAAGCGTAGATGACTGTCTTGTTCAGATAAATGCGGATGGAACCGGCTTCTACCACGCCTGTTACATGGAGCAACAACTCTATAGGTTCGCGCGTCTAATGACATCGTTGAACTGGTCTGTTGCGGCCAAGTTCACGTTCATTAATGATGGATTTGCCTTGGTAAGTTCTACGCAATAAAAGGTGACCTAACATTAAAGGTGCTGCATGCGTTTCCCCACTACTCTTATAATATGAATCGCACCAGTTCCTCTTGAAGATAAGATATTGTCCTGTTCGACCCCTACCTCATCCGAATCAGCTTGGTCGCTACAGCATCTTCTGTCTATCTGCTTCCCAGTCATACCGCATGCAATTAAAACCAATAGTACTGTTCTGGTTCATCTCGGTGGAAAAAAATCCACGGAAACACAACACCACGACACCACTAGCACTTCACTGGTTTTGCATCAGTGTTTGGAAAGTGCCTTCAGTACAAATCCGATAGTGTCGCAATCACATGGCCGTTCTCCACTCACCGTACAAAACAATGATTTAATTTCTATCTGTTTGAGCACAGCCACATCGAAGACAGTGGTAAAGGGAACGAATCTAGCTGCTATCGTGGAGAACAGTTTGACGTGCGGGTATGGGGCATCTATGAGACTCAACGGTGAACGCTTGTTAGCGATCTTGAGCCTGAATAACCAGACAAATGATGATTTATACTTCACTTCAAGTTCATTCAACTCTCCGTTCTGGTGTGTTGTTCTGTATCTCTTACGTTAACCACACAGATCTTTTGAATAAAACGCCCGGAGTGGCGTTTTCTGGTTGCACACGAGCCGCCCGAGCTATCAAGAAATTGTTGCATGTAGTGGATTAACAGATGATAGTTTTGCGAACGCTGAAGTCACTCGACCTAGGGTTGACTGCTGACGTTAATAAAAACAATGTGGCGTTTATTCGTGTCATTTCCGTTCGATGGCATGTCTAGGGACACATGCTGAAAAGATGCTAAAGCTATCTCCATCGGAGTAATCAGGTGAAAGAGGCGACCAAACGTGGAACTTTTCAATATTTCGAGCCACCAGTCAAAAATGGTGTATTGCGAGGCATTGTTCATTGACAGCGGGACATTCTCGTCTGGATTTTAACAACCTTGCCCATCTAACACATAATCGTGAGAAACTTTACTCTACGGTTATGAAGGTGAGCGATTCACCATCATAGACCGCATACAGTCAAACACGAAACAGGTTTACGAAAGTCGGGATACTTCACTCGTTTGCGGATGAAAATTATCTGTGAGCATTCGTGTCGATTACATGGACAGAAAGTGAGGGGGAGTGATGATGCATCGGTACTGTGAAGCGTTGAGGTTTTCCTGTGCCCTGGTTGGCTTTAGTTCAAGATGTGATTGTCCTGAATGCCTGTTTGGCCACCATAGTTGTTTGAGAAGAAATAAGAGGTTCCATACCATTTTCCGACGGATTCAATGTGGTTGCGAATTCCGACCAGATGACTCGTCAGTCTCAAGGAATACACGGAACGGTCTGACTTATCATTTAACCCCCGGTACGTGGAGAGTGCTCATGTGAATTCAAGCTTCTTTCGAAACGCGTCCACTCGGACCACGTGCTCTGTGCTACTGAGTTGTGGCACGAATAACGATGGTTGAGTCTTTTTGGGTGTGCTGGAATGTGAGATTTGACTTGCCTTTCGTGTTCAGGGTGGTATGGGAGTTTACAATTCCCTTTTTGTATATTTTCGCCTGTAACGACGCGTGACCCGTCGTAAAGTGTCATTGGACCGCAGCCCCAACATGAACATTTACCACCACGTTGCTGTCGTGTACTGCACATTGTATACTGAATACATTGCGATCCTACCGGTGAAAGAAAGAAAGCTTTGGCTGCGGAGCTATTTATTAGAAAATGCCAACTGAACAGTTACAGACTATTGGACAGGGAAGCAAAACTCTCATTTGCATCTTGTTTACAAAACGGACTATCCATCTTCTCTTTGAACGCGTCTTCCTGAACTTTCCTGGGTGTTCATTGACTGTTGCTCAAACCCAAACAAATGCTACAAAGCGACTTCACATAGATCTCACTTTTGAAGAGACACAAAGCGAATTTACGAGAAGACATACTACTCGCATGCCCTCCCATCAGTAGTATCACCGTTACACCGGTACCTCCACTAACCAAATGGAATAGGGCGTAACCTCGTTACGCGGACCGGACTGTAACAGGTAAGCGTCAGTTGTAAACAGGTTGTTCTATGTGAGTTACTTGTTTGATTAGATACTTGGTTGGTTAACTGGAAGACAATGGAAAAATTCTATAAAGTAGTTGCAGTTGGAAAGTATGGAGATATCTGACGTCGAGTTACTTCCAAGATATCTCACTTGTGTTTGCAACTCAGTTCGTGTTTTGCAAGACAGCGCAACTTAACCACTGTACAGCATTTATCGCACACATATCAAGCGAAAGATGTGAGTTGTTCTTCGTTCATTTCCTTTACTTATCCACATTTGGCAACATTTGTATAGTCAGGTTTTTTCATCTGCTAATAGATGTATGGTATCTATTCTAGCGTTTTCTAATAAAGCTATTACACAGTTCTTTCGTGTTTTGCAAGACAGCGCAACTTAACCACTGTACAGCATTTATCGCACACATATCAAGCGAAAGATGTGAGTTGTTCTTCGTTCATTTCCTTTACTTATCCACATTTGGCAACATTTGTATAGTCAGGTTTTTTCATCTGCTAATAGATGTATGGTATCTATTCTAGCGTTTTCTAATAAAGCTATTATCACAGTTCTTTCAAAAACGTCAAGTTAACATCCGATGTAACCCCCAAAAATTCAACGGAACTAAGAAGGATACCGTCCACTAGTTTGTTTTCAATGGGGGCAGAACTACACATGTCGTCCCCTAATAGTTGAAAATACTTTCCATGCTTGCTTCTCAAGTGATGTCAACGATAGATTCCATGACGTATGTACTGCCAATTTGTAAAGGGTCCTCTCCATTACCCATTAATACTGGCACTACCAGCGATCAGCGATGTTTTTATCCAGGATTATTTCTGTAATCCGTGTGTCCAATGGGTACGGAATCATTGTTCAGCTTTTGATTACTTTCCCAGCTCACCAGTACATTGGGTTATCCACACATACCACAAGTTCCGCATTGCCACAACTAACAGCCTTCTTGGAAAGCAGTTCTTTAACCACGATTGGTAACATTTGACTAACCCGCAGAAATTGAATTCTTTTCTGAAGAAACCTGTAAGACTGCGAACTTGTGCTTCCTGGTAGTTCCTCTGATGAGGAACCACCGCTTCGTCTCTCTCAAAAGAGGCCGTTTTTGGTCGTTTGCTTTAGTCTGAACAACTGTTTGGTTTATGGATTCAACTCTATTTTAGCGTCCAACTGTTACAAGACTAGTGATCACGTGCTAACTGACTTGAAAACTTTTGAGTTATCAGACCACATCACTCAGAGGACATTGTATTGTGCCTAATTGCATCGAGTACGGATTGGTATGAACCCAACTTCTTTTGTTAGAGTGTGTTTTGGTGGCCACCTATTCCAAGATCAGTGTGTAAATTGTAGCATTGGAAATTGAATATTCAGATATACCTGTGTTTACTGCACTGCTCGCATTCTGAGAACGATCACTACCGTTCGTTTTGTGTACATCTTGATTCTGTAAAAGGCCAAGGCGGGCTTTATTCGTATCTCGGACTGGCTTGCCATACTCCCCCAACTGGTTGAAGGCGAACGGTCGTATGCTGTTTGGCAATGTGTACTGAATGACGGGTTGGCCGCGCATGTTCGAAGGCTAGTGCATGAAGGAGAATTGTCCGTCTCTGCTTATCATTCTTTCCTACGGGGTCTCGTGCGACCCGTGTTAGACTCTTTGGGTGAGTTTTTGACGAGATGGATTTAACAGTTCGAATGTGTTAGTCCTCAAGATGATACTCGTGGTTCTATTTCCAGACCCTGTTCGGTACCGGTTTCCCGAGCACACGAGGACTAGTCTTGAACAACAGGATTCACTCTAGCTGTTTCCCACCTTATCTCAGTATCATACTATCAAACAAATGTGTGACTCTGTTTTGCCGTGTTTTGCTTGCCGTCCAGTATTTCATACTCAAAATCTAATTAGGATAAATCACATGGTAACATTCAAGTTTTGTAGGGCTCTAAGTGCGTTCCGAGGCGTTCTTCACCAACAAAGTAACCAAACGAGTGTCTGCAGTGTATTCTCAGAATTTCGGACGTGTAAGAGTATACGGAGAGCTTTCCAAAAGCTTCCGTACACAAAGCGGTGTTCGTCAGGGATGCCCACTCTATCCATTCCTTTTTAACTTTGTGATCGATGAAATAATGAGACGAACGCTGGAGGGTCTCCAAATCCCTGGTGTTCAAATAGCCTGTGAAGAAAATCTTGTCGATCTGGAATATGCAGACGACACGTTCTCATGTTCGAAGAGGAGGAGAAGGCGCAAGTATTCTTGGATGAACTGACCGAAGTCATCCCGTCCATTGGTATGCACTTTGCACCCACAAAGTGTAAGGTCA